TTGGCTGGTGTTAAATTATTCACAGGGGGCGGCTAACGATTGGCCTGTTAGCCGTATAAGAGGCTTGAGCGGTTTCCGCCCAAGCCGAAGAAGACTCCACATCCATCTCGTGGGGACTCTGGGTACACGGCAGGGTAACAGAAACCCTGTGTGAGTTCCAGAGGAGCCTGGCGGCCTGATCCATCGCCCACCTCTTCCCATCTTTGAACGCGACTTTTATAAGACGTATCTACGATTTCTATTTTGGTGGCTCGTTCACCCAGAGCATCCGGAGCTCTGCACCGTGGAGCCTAGCAACCTCCACAAGACCGTCTGTGTTGTCTGTCTGTAACTGCAACTCAATCAAATTTTCCAGCCTACACCACTGCCATCTCGGTGTAAGTAAACAATCTTTAAAACTACCGATACGCGTTTGTGCCTAATTCCAGCTCGACGGCCTTCCCTCTCCAACCCGGCGTGCCCGGGCTGCTGGCCACAGCCCGCGTGCAGCACAAAAAAGGGCTCGGGTCGCTCCCGGCCTGCACACCTCGCAGCCAGCTTCAACTGAAAACATCAAAAAGAAATTTCCTCTATAAACCATTTTCTAATCTAGAGGACCTGAACATCATCTGGGTACCATCAGTGACAGGATCCAGGACCAACAGAATCAGTGATCTGCTTTCTACTTCAGTATGGCAAATCCTATATGTTTGCTCAATTTTGAAGCAGAGAGGTCTAAACAGAAAAATAAATGCACTTCCTTCCCAAATAAGGTCTACTTCTATTATGCTGCAAGCTGGCCACTGAGCAAGACTCCAGCAACATATAGCATCTAATATAAGGCATCAATAATCTTACTGCCCAAAAGATTATTCTTTATGGTAGGAATTTTATGCATAGTTCCAGAAAAATCAGGATTCCTCCATTTGTTTTTGGAATGCTAAATGTCACAAGCTGTGATCTCCTGAATTGTACTGAAGTATTTAACTGGTCCTACGTTGGGGTGTGAAAGGGAGAGGAGGGAAGAAAATGACTACCATAATTCCAGCCCACTGCGTGAATAACATGGGGCTTGTAAGCAAAATATCAGCTCAGGAGTGATTTAACCCTCCTTGCATTAACTATTAGCTGAAATCTAAATCTAAATGATTGCCCTTGAGATGGATTAAGTCCATACACTTTAAGGAGTGATAGGGAAACAGGACTGCTGCCATACGAGAGTTCACAAGAAATTCTTGTTTTATGAAATATTTACATATCTGTCAAAAAACACACTGCTGTGGTTTTTCTGAGTTCTTTGCACCAAAAGAAACTGCTCTGTTATTTTTCTGTGCTCAAGAAATGAGTGAAAGCTAACAGCTGGCATTTTCTGAAAGGTATCTTGAGTCTAAAAAGGCCAAGAACCACTGATCTAAAGATTGACCAGATCTTCGTATCTAAAAAGTGGTTTTGCTGCATTTTTTTCTATTTAGTATTTAATTTAATGAACAGTTTTCACTGAATCTTAACAACAAAAGACACTTCTAGCTACTAGCAGTGAGTACAGTACTAAATAACTCATAACAGATAGAACCTCAGACAAATAGCTCCCGAGTTAATTTTCAGTTTCCATAAATAATGCTGGTCAAGTAAAGTTATTTAAAGAAACTGAGAAGGCACAGGGCCTGTGTTGCGTTCTGCCACGATTCACTGCATACGCTGACGCAAGTTACTCAGCTTCTCAATGTCCATCATTCAACCTTCATCTTTAAAATAAAATAAAAGTTAAAGACCTACTTTGCAGGGACAAGGAGGTCTAGTTTTGCATTTCTAAAATGGCTCAAGATTTCCAAGACAGAAGGCAGAGGGCCACATTTTTATAAAGAAAAAAAATTGCACTTACTATCTTCATATAATTTCAGAATTTTTGCCACAAAAGGCTGATCTGCATTCTCCCCTTCTATTAAAACACACTCTCCAAGGTGTATGCAGGTTTTTGAGCTTTCTGATTTAATCAGGAGTCCCCTAGGAAATGATGAACACACAGAGGTTAATGGAAGTGTTTCACATTCCTTACAATTCAGACACTGTTGGAGTCAAATGTGGTCTTGTTATCGCTTCTCTCTGGACAGATCTCCTTGCCAAATACATGCAACATTTCCTCTGTTCAGATGTTCTGATTCTCTTTTTCTCTAAAAACAGGAGATGGAATCACAGTTCACAAGCGATTGGACAGTTAGTGGAACTTGCATGCAACCTCTGGAGTTAACACATCAGTTTAAAGACACCAAGTGAACATTAGATTAAAATAATTTTTTTTTTTTTTTTTTTTTAAGTATCACAGGAAACTTACATTTTCCAGTCGTTCATGCCAACAGATCAAAAGCGTTTTACCAAACTTAAGACTCTACATAAAAGAATCTCTTCTATCAGCCACCAAAATGTAAAAAAACCCTTAAAAGCACAGAGCAACATGACAACTGTTTAGAAAGTGACAAGTATAATATCCAGGTGATGCTGTAAAACAACCAGCGCGTAATTATCCAAGTTACAATAGTACTGGCAAATGCAGAAGTGACCAAAAGTGTCCAACTAGAGACAAATTGCTCAAAAGAGGACATTTCTTTCAAGCAGCAGTCCTCTCTCCACCTCTCTCGGTAACAGAGACAACAGCTGCAGTGTAACAGCTTTGTGGCTGGACAGCTATTATATATCCACCACATCATACACATCAAAAGCACCCGTCTTTGATAAGAGGGTTTTTACAAGATGTTCACATTACTTCTTCCTTGTGCTCATTCTGCAGTGCATACATCTGACAGATACTACTACTCCAATTACCTGTGTCACTACAGCACTTTTTCTATAACTCCCCATAAGTGTCACATTTCTGTGCGTTTCTAACCCAGTAGTAAAATAGGTATTCTTTACCTATATTGAGTTGTCTGAAGTCTCCTATCTGAGCTTGTTTCTTTTCCATACCACGAATACGTAAGCATAGTCCGACGCCTCAGACTCATGATTTCTGTGAAAAAAGATTAAAAGCAGCATAGGGTTTATGGCTATAAGCAGCGGTGTTTAACAACAAAAGCAAGAGAAAGAAGTAGGATTTCTGGAGTCTAATTCCTAGCTGAGACATTGAGGCCAAGTTACTTTCAATAAGTCACCAAACTTCCCTGTGCCTCAGTTTTTTCATTCTTCAGAAAAAGATACCGGTTGCTTCAAAGGAATTTAAAATTTAAACCTAACTTTTGGCCTATGATTTGCAAGAGATAAACTGGTCTGACAATATAAAGTATGATGCCCTGAGTGTTTGCATCCTTCATTCCTGCCAGAGCTGAATGTTCTTCTACTAGTCTCTCACAAAGGCTTTTCTGAGGACCCTGCTACACGTTCAAATAAAAGCCAGAAACTTTTGGCTACTGACAGGAGTTTCCATGCTTCCGATCCCAGCTGGATTTCAGAGTTTCCATTTGATCTACAAGGATGGCAGTTGATCTTTAAAGGACGGCGTTAGTGGTTTGCTAGCCCTGCTGGGAGAGGTCCACGATACAGCAGCAGAAGCAGGTGCTGAAGTTGTTCATGGGGAAGAAACACTTAGAAAGTTGGGCACGGGTGAGGTAGACAGACCTCATCTCACCGTCTGCCTGTAACATTCAGGCCCCTGCTACACACTGCATACATTGCACGATTAACTGGTGAATCACGCAATAAATTTAGAGCGGCCACACGTGCAAAGTTATTCTCACACCATGAAAAGGACTATCCAGCTATACGAGTCATTTATACAGGGTGTTTATAAAAGTCCTCAGGCAACTTTAATCTTTGATAACTTTGGATAAGCACATGACAGAAGCAAACTGCAAATGGCGATCGAAAGCATCGTTCACTAAGCTTTAACACAATACAGCTCAAATGGACTTGGACACAACCGTCATCTTTCGTGATATATCGTTCACTCCGATTTTCCAACTTGTAAAAAACATTTTCCAGCTGCTGCCGAGTGATTTCACGAAGCGCATTTGTGATCCTCGCCCTACGCGCAGCTTCCACTCGGCTAAAATAACTTCATGGACTCCACTTTCCCTCGCCGCTGACGATTTGCTCCCATCCCGTGGGTTCGGAGGGTTTTGGAGCCGAGGGTCCGGACCAGGCTCCCGCAGAGGCGACAGCCTCCCACCCCGGCCATCAGCAAAAAGCGCCTTGACGCCCAACTTTGCCGGTGCCGCCCGATCCCAGCCGTCTTCCCTGCGCAGCTGCGGGGGCCGAACCTCATGATCTGCGAGGTCCCTCCCAGCCCCGAACAACGACGAAACGATGCATCTATCCAACGTGATTGAAGTGTAGTCGCGCAAGGGCTGTATAAACACCTGCACAGGTTGAAACCGCACAGCCGCTCTGCAGCGGGCGTCTGCCCAGTTTGAATCCGAGCGCGCGGCGGGGCCCTCAGCGGGTGAGGGGCACCGCGCGGCGTGGCATCGGCCGCCCCAGGTGTCCACGGGCACTTGCTGAGGGGAAGATGGAGACTCAGAAGATGCCTGCTAATAAGGCCGGTCCCCTCGCCCCTGCCTGGGCAGGCCAAGGGGGGATCCAGGCTGCCCGGGGGGCACTGCTACACGTTACATTCATCGCGCCCATCAAGCCGCCCCCCGCCCCCAGGCCTCGCGCGCGCCCGGCTTTAGGGGCCGCCGCCCGCTTGGGGGTGGGCCTCGCGAAGCCGCGCCCGGAGTTAAGATGGCGGCCGAGAGGGGAGGGCGACGTGACCTCGCGCCGGAAGCGGAAGTGCTTCCTCCCCGCCCGGAAGCTCGAAGCAGTTCCACGTCCGGGCGCCCATCGCGCCCGCCGCCGGGGCCATGGCGAACCGGACTGTGAAGGACGCGCACAGCATCCACGGCACCAACCCGCAGTACCTGGTGGAGAAAATCATCCGCACGCGCATCTACGAGTCCAAGTACTGGAAGGAGGAATGCTTCGGCCTCACCGGTACGGCCCGCCCGGGCAAGGGGCGCTTCCGGCTAGGCCGCGGGGGGCGGGGCCTAGGGCC